GCGTCCGCCACCCGATCCGGCGGCAAGCCCTCGACGCCCAGCGCCCGGGCGCCCGCGGGTTCCGCCGAGGCTCCGCGGCGCGGCCCGGCGCCGAGGCGGGCCACCTCCTCCAAGGCCGCCGCCAACCGCCCCAGGGCGCCGCCGCCCTCGCCCTGCGCGCCCTCGAGCAGGCGCTCGAGTTCCCGGCACTGCGCCAGGGTGAGCTCCAGCCGGCGGCCCAGGGCCGCCAGGCGCGCGGGCAGCTCCGCCTCGGCGCCGGTGCCCTCGGCGGGCGCGGGCGGCGGAAGGCCCGCCACGTCCTCCAGCAGCGACCACGGCGCCGCCGCGCCAGGCGCGCGGTCCATGGCAGCGGAAGGCGGCGGCGGCGGCGGGGCGTCGGGCGCCGGGTCGCCGCGGCGGCCGCTGAGCCGAAGAGGGGGGGCAGGGAGGGCGGGCGCGGGAGGCGCCTTTCGCGCCCGTGGAAGGCCGAGGAGTGGGGCGGGAGCAAAGGAAGGGGAGGGAACGAGGAAGGAGAGGGTGTGGACGGTGAGGCCAAGAGAGGGAACAAGGGGGGAGCACGTCAAAAACTCGGAATGATCAGCGGCAGCCAGGTCACACCTGCAACAAGCTTGCAGCAACCTGCGCGAAAGGGGCGGCGGGATCGTCGGCAGTTTGCGAGGCTCTGAAGTTGCCCGCCGCATGCGCTGATGTATTTCATCAACTTACGCAACGAGCCCGCCGCAGGCGCCGAACTTTTCACGCGGGTTGGTCGCAGGTGGGTCGCGGATGGGTCGCGGGTGGGTCGCGGGCGGGTCGCGGGTGGGTCGCGGGTGGATCGCGGGTGGGTCGCGGGTGGGTCGCGGGTGGGTCGCGGGACAACAAGCCACAAACATCAAGCAACGCCACAACAATAACAAATCTGAGAACACGGACAAAACCAACCAAAACAACAACACACAAAAAACAACAACAACAACAACAACAACAACAACAACAACAACAACAACAACAACAACGACAACAACAACAACAACAACAGCAGCAGCAACAACAACAGCAACAACAACAACAGCAACAACAACAACATCAACAACAACAACAACAGCAACAACAACAACAACATCATCAACAACAACATCATCATCATCAACAGCATCAACAACAACAGTCATTTTAAGACCGTTCGCCCTTATATGCTCGAGTGTGCAATAACGCGTATTTCCCAAACCCTCGATACCCGCCCTCTTTGTCTTCGATCGAACCCCTTTTGGGGGGTATTCCGTTCTTCCCTGCAGGCTGGGCCCCGGCAAGCGGCGGGGCGGCCGCGGACCGTCGGCGTGGCCAGCGGCAGCGTCGGCGGGGCGGCCGCGGACCGTCGACCCGACCCCAAGAGGGACGGACAGGGGACCAACCACGACGACGACGACGACGAAGACGACGGCGACGACGACGGCGACGACGAGCGCAAGCGACAGCGAGGGAGAACGACAGCCGGGCCATCAGGACACGAAGTAGGACACGAAGGGCGACAGCGGGGACACGAAAGGAATGAGTATGGGCCCGCGAAGAGCGCGAACGACAGGGGGCCACGAAGTGCACATAATGCGGGGCCACAGAAGGCAACTATGGGACCACTGAGGGTAGCAACTGGGCCACGTAGGACAATGAGGGGGGCACACATGGCGACAGCGGGGCCACGAAGGGCATGCACATGGGGCCACAACGGGCGCGACTCCTGGGTGCCTGGGTGTCGGGAGCGCGGCGCTTGGGCAAAGCGCAGGCAATCCCAACGCAAGGCCATTCTTCAGTAAATTGCAAGCAAGACTCCAGCGAGAGCGCGACTCCACAGCGCCGGGAGTGCGATTCCTGAATAAATTGGAAAGAAGTCCCAAGCGAGAGCGCGATTCCTTAATAAAATGCGCGGAAGTCTTGGGCGGGAGCGGGGGTCCTGGCTAAATTGTACAAGCGGGAGCCGTTGTTGTTGTAACCCGGGGGCCAAGGGGCCAGTTTGAGCAGGAAGACTTTCCCTGTCAAAAAACAGGGTGCGAGCGTCGAGGGGCACACTTTGATTGAGAAAAACAGTAAGCATCGGTGAGGGGGGGCAACAATAATTATTCACAGAAATGAGAACTCAACAACAACAGCAACAGCAACAACAACAACAACAACAACTGCAACAACAACACTAACAACAACTAAATCAACAACAACACCAGAAACAACAGCGAACAACACCGAACAACGAACAGTAACAACAACATCAACAACACAAACAATAACATCAACATTAACACCAACAACACCAGCAACACCAACAACGACACCAACAACAGCAACGATAAATCTAAGATTACTGGCGCGCGTGTCTCGCATCCCGTGTACCCCAACCCTCGATACCAGCCCACTTCGTCTTCGATCGTACCCCCTGTCAGGGGGGAATCCATTCCTGGTCGACCACTGAATGGATGAAGTGCGAGGAAGTCTCGACCGAAAGCGCACATCCTGAGTTCGGGGGCCTCTCTGGCCAAAGGCTCCCGGAATAACTAAGAAGAAATATCGAACGGGAGCCCTTGTCGCCGTGTCCGGGCCTCCACCAACTTGCCTGAATGACAGGAAAGTGCCGAGCGAGAGCGCCGTTCCTGAGTTCGGGGGCCTTCTTGGCCAGGGGCGTCGGAATAAATAGTGAGGAAGTATCGAACAGGAGTCCTTGTCGTCGTGGCTGGGACTCCGCCGACTTGACTGATCTGCGAGGAAGCCTCAAGCGAACGCGCCGTTCACGGGGGCCTCTTTGCGCAAGGCGTCTAAGGGAAACTGTAAGGAAATATCTGGCGGTAGCCGTTGTCGTCGTAACTGGACCTCCAAGGGTCCACATAGGCTCAAGACAACGCTCAATCGGGAGCCTCGCTTTCCGAGAAAATGCAGCCGGTGACGGGGCGAGAGCGCGCGGAACCGTGCCCGGATATCAACAATGCTTACTATCCAGAAGCGAATGCTCAACGACAGCAGCAAAACAACAACACAACAACAAACATACGAACGACAACAACAACACCAACAACGACAGCAACAACAACACCAACAACACCTATCATGTTAAGGCTGCTCGTTCTACCTTGCGCGGGTCATGCAACGCGTATTCCCCAAACCCTCGGCGCCCGCCCTCCTCGTCTTCGATCGTACCCCTTTTAAACCTAAGCCGCCCTAGGTGGCACCTAGAACATTTGCATATGGCACCTTGAAATTGTCCGTCTTAGGGCCACTTGGCCTTGACGTAGCACGATTACCCGCCCCAGGAAGGAAACCCCGACGAACGCAGCCGCAAAAAATCTGTTTCATAATGGAGCCGGGTTTGGAAATATTGGGGCCATGGGTGTCGTCTTTGACCCATCACGGATCATCTTGGATTTTGATTGAAGCCAACATTGGGTCAAGGGGTCATCTTGGGTCCTGTCAGGGTCGACTCGGCGCCCCGCGGTGCCCCTGGCCCCATCTCAGCGCCATAGGGACTTTATCGGGGTATCGTTGGGGTTCGTGGGGCCACCTCGGGGCCATGTTGGACTCGCGAGATCGCATTGCAATTGTGCCACGAGGTCGCGTTGGGGTCATCATGGGGCCCTGATGGCGTCGTCTTGGAAGCATCGTGGGGTCACACTGGATCGCGTTTTCGTCGCGGGTCATCCCCGTGTCGCGCTAGGGTCCCCGGGCCATCCCAGGAAGACGGCGTCGCGCGAAGGTCGCCCTGGGATCGCATTGCGACCGCGGGCCGCGATAAACCTCCTGCTCGCCATCCTACGTTGCGGGGGGGGGGGGGAGGGGCGCAGCTAAACAGCGCGATCGTGGCGTGGCGACGCGGGGTCGGTGGTCCGACCCTGGCATGAAAATCGATGTCTGGGAGGGTTGCACGGCGCGTGGCAACTGAGAGCTGTACCAAGGTGGCTACGTGGTCCAAGGGGGACAAGAGAAAAAGGGGCCGAGGAAGGATGGACAGCGAGGAGGGCAGGAGGAAGGGCAGGAGGACGAGGCGAAGGAGGAGAAGCAACTAGGAGGAAGGGGAGGACACAAATGACGATGAAATATATGGAATTATGAAGAGGAGGAGGAGGAGGAGGAGGAGGAGGAGGAGGAGGAGGAGGAGATAATAGAAGGAGGGACAACAGGGGAACAAGGGGATAGAGGAGGGAAGGGGGATAGCGAGGAAGAAGAGGAACCCAAGATGATGAGGAGGGGGAGGAACAGGAAAAGGCGGAGGAACAGGAGGATATGGAAAGTTATGCTTGCCACTGAAGTACCCAGGGGCCTCAAAAAGTCCCCTGGGGCCGCCAAAGTCCCAGAAACGCCAAACAAGGGACAATCAGCAGTCATAACAACAAAACACTCGCCCCTGGATCCTCGAGCGTCGGGGCGTCGCTGCTGCCTCTTCCACTCTGCTGCGGGTGTTCACACCGCGTTTACCCCTAGCTCCTAGCGCCACGTGGTGCAAGCTATCGTGTCTGGCCAGAAGGCCACTTTGGGCGCAACGTTCGATGTTGCACACTTTTGGCGTGCTGTTCCAACGGGATGCCAGGATCAATTCACAAAACAGAACTACGCGGAGAGGGCAGGGCATCTTCACGACAGAGTCAGGGGGGAGAGAGAGAGAGAGAGAGAGAGAGAAGAGGACTATTACTCATGAGGTGTAGTTGCAGAGTGGTGGGGATGGAATGGGAAAGACGACGAGGGGACGCCGCTGAGCGGTGGATGGCGAGGGGAAGGACGAGGGAGCCTCCAGTGAGGTTGGGGCGGAGGCGGAGGGCGGCGACGGCAGCAGCAGCAGCAGCCGCAGCAGCAGGAGCAGCAGCAGCAGCGGCGGCACGGGCAGCAGCAGCAGAAACAGTCCCCCCTTCGCAGGATGTCGACTGCAGGGCGGACACTGCACGGAGGAGCACGGTGCAACGCAGGGGCAAGGGATAGCCAGAGGGGCATTGGCTGGCACGGGAGCGCGGGGCGGTGGAGACAGAACGGCACTGAGACCGAGCACTCGTTTCACGATGAACTGCGCTGTCCTCCGTCACGCGTCGAGCGCGCGCTGATCGCCTCGCGGGTGTGGCGCATCCCTCGGTCACGAGCGTGGGAAGGGGCGCTCTCGGTCAAGCCGACCTCGGTGGTAAACGCATTACGAGGCAAAAGGGGACAATGATGCCGGCAAGATCGGGCCGTAGCGGCTACACCCCGCAGTGGGGGGCGGGGGGCCAGACAGACGGCCGAGCAAACCCTCCAGAGACAATAAGAATCGGGAACGCACCCACCCGGTGAACCCAAACCTGGGTCGGTCGGCCAGGGTCCTGTCGCGCGGCCCGGCCAGCCGCTCGATAGCTCCAAACCCAGGTCAGCGGAGAGCGGACAGGGGGATTGAGCCCCACGTGGCTCCCAAATCTAGGTCAGCTAGAGGGGATTGGCTGATCCCGTCAGCCCTGACCCCGTTGCGTGAGCCCCGAAGGGAAAGCAATCAGGACTGCCAGGGCATCAGCTGGCCTCAATCGCTTTTGGTTTAGAGGAACGAAGAATGGCATAAACAGAAAGACTCGGGGTCCGCGCGGATTTCTCGGATCCACGCTGGACCCCCCTGGCGGTGCCTCCGGCGCTGCCCCTGGCGCGCTCCGCGCGCCAGGGAGGGGGGTCCAGCGCCGATCCGAGAAATCCGCGCGGACCTCCGAGTCTTTATGTTTAGGCCAGTCTTCGTTCCCCTCAACTGAAGGGGCCCTAGGACACACAAACAAATACACGCAGGTAAGGGGATTCCCCATAGTTTCCCATATTTTCTCGGTCTCTGTCTTCCCCCCCACTGCCCATCTTCTCCCATATTTTCTTGGGAGTTGACGATGAAGTGTGTCTGTGTGTTTTTTTCCCTCCTGAGAAACGAGGGTCCGCTCGACTGCCTGCTGGGGAGCCGACGTGGGCACTCGGCGGCTGACGAGCAATCGGGGCGCGCATCGCGGCGGACTGCGCGCGCGGACCTCACGCAATCGCCTGCCGGCCCGCCGCGGAAGGCGGGAGGATGCGGGGTGGGGGGGAGGGCGGAGGGGGGGCGGGGTCAGGGGAGGAGGGCAAGAGGAGGGAGGATGCGCGAGGGAGGAGGGAGGGAAGTGGAGGAACGGACAGTGACATCTACACACACAAATATAGATAGATAGATAGATGGATAGATAGATAGATAGATAGATAGATTGCACGCAATCGCCTGCCGGCCCGCCGCGGGAGGCGGGAGGCGGGAGGGGGGAGGACGGAGGCGGGACGGGGCCAGAGGAGGATGGCGGGAGGGAGGCTGCGCGAGAGAGGAGGGAGGTAAGTGGAGGAACGGACAGTGACATCTACATCTTTATATATATATATATATATATATATATATATATATATATATATATATATATTGAAAACATCTCGGAGGTCCTCGCGGATTTCTCGCATCGGCGCTGGGACCCCCCGGCGGCGCCTCGGCCTGTCTCCTGCCCTGTGGATGCGCTCGGCGCGAGAATGTCTCCTGGCGATGCCTCAGCAGAGCCAGCGACCCCCTTCTTGGGATGCGCGGAGACACCTCCCAGATCAAGCCAGTAAGGTCTTGGAGAAACTTCAGCAGCTGGCTGCCTACGTGAGCGAATGGCATTGGAGGCGATTGGATACAGTCATCGGCCGGACCTAAGGAACGATAAATACGGAACGAAGCCCCGTATTTTCCAAAAGAATAACGCATCGAGAGCGATACATAATATGTTAAAAGTATACGGAACGATACTTAACGCGTGCAAGCCTCAGGAACGACCGAGCCCCCGTTGAAAAGTAAGTGTTACTGATTCAAGCCGCTCACTGTATAACATGATTAGTGATTGGAGCCAAGTGTGCGGATCTAGGCAATTGGATACAGCACGACTTGCCAATACCGTGCACCAGCCTGCTGCTCGCATACCCGCCACCGTGCCTCTGGCACGGAGTGGAGTGCCGGGCGGGCCACTCTCCGGCAACTCGACACATGCAGTGCCCAGTGCATCTTCTCGGCGGCGTCCCGCCTCCCAGCGGTGGACAAACCTTCCTTTCGTAAACCTCTCCTTAGTGAAAACGGCCTAGGACCGAAACCGACGGACCTGGACCCACAAAAAGGACGCGGCCGCGACGCCCTCTCGCGAACCGAAAACGGCCCATTCCTTAATTGACGTGTCAGGGTAATTAGGAGATCTATCAACCTCCGACCCGCCTCCCGGCGGGGGCCCCCCCGGCAGGGGCCCCCCTTGCGGCGGGCCCCGCCCCTCCCACCCCGTAGCTGGGAATCGTTAAGATTTTAATATCTTAGCTCACACGGTTAATTTGTTCTTCGTTGCGTTAATATGTTAAGCGTTGATATTAAGTTAATGTAGCATGATAGAAGTTAAGTTAAAGTTAATGTCCATATTTAAGATCATTTTATATAGATGCACTGCGATGCGAGGCTTCAACCCCACGCGGGACCCCCCCTCCAGACCCAGAGCCGCTCCCCAGAGAGGAAAAGTAGGTTGGAAGAGGAAGCGCGCTAGACCACTCACGCCCCCAAGGGTTGGTTGGATTAATAGCGAAGCTGCTCGCAGTTGGTGCGCGCTTCCACTGTGGCCCAGCGTAGCTACAGCTTACGCCGATAGCGGACCCAGCGTAGCTACGGCTTACGCAGGTCGCGCCTCGAGTGGGGGATTGCCCCATATGCATCGGACAACGTTCGGTTCGCGCATGTTTGTTGCTGGCCTTGTTTTGGCCGTGGCGCACGCAAAAAAAAAGAGAAAAAACAAAAAAAAAACAAAAAACAAAAAAAAAACAAAAAAAAACAAAAAAAAAAAAAAAAAAAAAAAAAAAAAAAAAAAAAAAAAAAAAAAAAAAAAAAAAAAAAAAAAAAAAAAAAAAAAAAAAAAACGCCTCTTCTTCATAATCCTTGCCCCCTCCTCCTCCTCCTTTTCCTCCTCCTCCTCCTCCTCCTGCTCTTCCTCCTCCTCCTCATCATCATCATCTTGCTCATCCTATTCCTCCTCCAAACCCCACCCCCCCGCCCCTCCCTCCTCCTCCCTCCCTATGGGGCCAAGAAGCGTGTGAGGGGTGCCCCGAAATGGGCGCGGTGCCGCCATGCGAACGCAGCCACTGGAGCGCTCGGTGGAACTCCCTATGGGGCCACGAAACGTGCGAGGGGGAGGAGGAGGAGGAGGAGGACGAGTCCGCCACGGTTCAAGCGCCCCTCGAGGCACGGACGGCCGCCCTTGAAGCGCCCATTTTTTGCCGCTCACACGCCGTCCAGGCGAAGCAACGCTCCGAGCACCCGCTTTGCAAGCACGTTTTTCTGCCCCACTGCTCGATGCCTGCCAGCCAACGATCGTTTCCAGCATTTTGCAAACGTGCCAACCAAACCTCTCGTCAATGTAACAAGAAATACGCACTGGATTGAACACCTCTGCCACTCGAGGCAAGTGTTGCATTTTATGGACTTTAGGGGTCACTTCCCAGGCAAGCGCATTTGCCTGGCGACAATGATCCCTGCATATCATGAAATTACGGCCGAACCTCATGCACGTGCGCTCCAGCGCCGCGACGCTCATCGATGACATAAACAAAGGCTGTGATTCCATTAGTTTGTAGCACTCGTGGAGGTCAGAAGCTACTGCAGCCATCGTTATCTCGTAATACGTGCCAACTCCAAAATGTCGCTGTGCGAACTCTTTGAAAAACAACGATGCTGCCCTCGTCATGGCTGCCTTGATGTTTGTTGCGCGAAAGAAGGCCCAACCGTCAGCGGTGCAGTGGTGCGCGGCGAAGCGAGGCAGCAGATTCCAACCAGGCCTTGCAGTGTACCAGTCGTCCATTTCATCACATAACGCGCTGATGCGCGCAGCCTGGTTGGCCCCGAAGGCGCGGCTCTTGATGACGCTTGACAAGATTGATCCGTATACGATGGAAGCAACTCCTTTACAGTCCATCAGATGCATCGCATCCAATGGGAAGAAAAATGACGTGCAATACAAACTCATTGTGAGCGGATGGTATTTGTTAGGTCGAGCTTTGTACATTTCCAGCGGCTGTCTATCAGTAGCTCTCCATGCCGCTGACGGTTGTAGGTCGGTGTACGGTCTGTTTGCGCGGTTCGCCAGGCATTCCGAGCATACTTCTGTGTTTGACGAGTAAGAGGGGAATCCCCATTCCACGCATCGAACTTCTTCGTCCCCTTTGCACAACATGAGCACGCATTGCCATTGAGTGCCATGGGCGTCGCGAAGCTCAGTAGAAGCCGGCACCATGCCATTTCCGAGTGTTTCAAAATCTGCCAATATCGCTTCCCATGCGCCGTGGTCTGATCGAGCTTTCTTGAGACAGGTGGCCATCGGGAAACGCGTCAGCTTTTCTGGGCCAGCGCTCAACAACGAACCAAAGCTCAACACAATCGCACTCTCGGCATGAGAAACTGGACCAGCATCTTCATGCACAACAAATTGTATCGTATGTTTCGGCTGCTCGAGAGTCTTGCCTCGCAGATGCGGGTGCTCCGCTGCTTTGGCAGCGCGCACAGGGCTGTCGAACCAATTTACCCAAAATTCTCTTACCTTGGACTCGTCTGCTCCAAAACGTATCCGAAAGTCTCGCTGTCTGTACTTGGACATATAGTTCAACCATGTGCTGGGTAATACAACGTGTCGCCAAGACCCCTGAATGTCGGAAATCATGGCCGTGATGCCCGTGGAACCCAACAGGGCCATGAGGCCGCCGCGCGCATTCTGGCCACCCCCTATGCGAGCGAGTCTCGTCACCAGTGGGTCTGTCAACCCATCTTCAACAGCGTTAGACATGGGGCGTTGCACCTGACTTGCTGATTGGCCACCTTCCGACCAAGCGAGGAGCTGTCCCAGCGCAAGCTTCGACACTTTAGGGGGGGTCCTCGGCACCTCAGGCTCTTCTACATCTGCAGCTGCGCGCTGCTGCCGCCAACCGCCTCGCCGCCGAGGCGCAGCGTCGATGTACAGGCTATCAAGCATGAGGCCAGCACCACAATATATCAAACATAACGTCAGAAGTACGGTGCATGATCTCATTGCATGAAACTCGCTGCGTGCAGGCTTGAACCAAAATGGTTACGGATATGTCGGTGATGATGGTCATATACCGTTGTGTGGTCAGGGTTGCTCTCGCGAGATTCCGAGGCGATGATGGCCGTTTACATTGCGCGCGTGCATTTTAGTTCCTCTTGCAGAGGATTGGCGCTCCATCGCCCCCCCGCCCAGACGATAACGTCCATGCGGGATTTCCGTGTTTTCTGGACCCCCCCCCTAAGGGTGAAAATCAGAATGCCAATAGCGGCGGTGATGGCGAATCTGATGCTTATTATTCGCCGCCCAACCAAAAGGGGGATGTGATACTGGACGATCGCACCCCCCCCCCCCCCTAAAATCCTTGGGAGGGGGGGGGGGGGGGGGGGGAGGGGGGGGGGGGATGGGGGGGGGGGGGGGGGGGGGGGGGGGGGGGGTGCGTTGTGTGTGTGTGTGTGTGTGTGTGTGTGTGTGTGGTGTGTGTGTGTGTGTGTGTGTGTGTGTGTGTGTGTGTGTGTGTGTGTGTGTGTGGGGGGGGGGTCGGAAACGGCATTATGGCCACTCTCAGAGCCATTTGAAATCACATGTGCGAGCCTTCACCTTGAGACATCCTCGGATCGCCGCCCAACCAAAAGGGGGATGTGATTTCTAACCCCCTTTGACATCACACGTGCAAGCCTTCAACTTGAGACATCCTCGGATCGCCGCCCAACCAAAAGGGAGATGTGATTTCTAACCCCATTTGATATCACATGTGCAAGCGTTCAACTTGAGACATCCTTGATGACGATGGGGGGTGACGATTACGACGACGACGATGCCGATGATGGCGATGGTGACGACGACGACGACGACCATGCAGTTGCGACGACGGTGACGGCGACGATTGTTATGCAATTGATTCGTTTGGTTTCCAATGCTGCTGGCTATCAGAAGGCTCGCCTC